CTGGCTTCTGAGAAGCAAAGTCAATGAGAGAAGTTGAATTCTTTAATAACTGCATGATTCACTTAACAACTGCAGTGATTCACTGAACAACAGTTGCAAGAAAGGTTGCGAACTCAGGCATGACTAAATAAACACCTTTCCTAGCAAAAGAAATTCTGTTCCCTATCGTACATTGAGGACTACTTATAACAAAGGAGCCCAAACTTTTATCACCTTATTTATTTATTTATTTATTTATTTATTTATTTATTTATTTATTTATTTTATATGCCGCCCAATCCCAAAGGACTCAGGGCGGCGTACAAAATTAAAACAATCATCAACAATAAAACAATAAAATAATACAATCATACAGCATGTCCGATCATATCCCGCCCCCCCCCGGGGACATCAGCCCCAGGCCTGCCGGAACAGGAGAGTTTTAACGGCTTTCTTAAAGGCCGGCAGGGTGGGAGTAGTTCGAACCTCGGGGGGAAGTTGATTCCACCAGGTCGGAGCCACCACAGAAAAGGCCCTTCCCCGAAGGCCTGCCAGCTGACATTGTCTGGACAACGGGACCTGAAGGAGGCCCAATCTATGGGACCTCACCGGTCTCTGGGAGCTGTGCGGCAGTATGCAGTCCTGTAAGTAACCTGGCCCTATGCCATGAAGGGCTTTAAAGGTGATAACCAACACCTTGAATTGCGTCCGGAGACCCACAGGAAGCCAGTGCAGCTCGCGGAGGATAGGTGACACGTGGGCGTACCTTGGCACGCCCACAATCGCTCTCGCGGCTGCATTCTGAACCAACTGCAGCCTCCGAACGCTCTTCAAGGGTAGCCCCATGTAGAGCGTGTTACAGTAATCCAGTCTTGAGGTGACAAGGGCGTGAGTGACCATGAGTAAAGCCTCCCGGTCCAAATAAGGCCGCAACTGGTGCACCAGGCGAACCTGGGCAAAGGTCCCCCTGGCCACAGCCGATAGATGTTGTTCCAAATTTAGCTGTGAGTCCAGAAGGACACCCAAGTTGCATGCCAGCACTGAGGGAGGTAAATTTGCCCCCCCCCCAGGACTAATGATGGACCATCCAGTTGACCTTTGGGAGGCAAGATCCAGAGCCACTCGGTCTTGTGAGGGTTGAGTCTAAGCCTGTTCACCCCCATCCAGACCCTCACATCTTCCAGGCACCGGCAGATCACGTCGACTGCTTCACTGAAAGGACACAGGGTGGAGATATATAATTGGGTATCATCTGCGTACTGATGATACTTCACCCCATGTCGCCGGATGATCTCACCCAGCGGTTTCATGTAGATGTTAAAAAAGGGGGGACAGGACCAAGCCCTGAGGCACCCCATGATCGAGGCGCCTAGGGGTCCATCTCTGTTCACCCGCCAACACCGACTGTGAGAGGTAGGAGGAGAACCACCGCAATACAGTGCCGCCCACCCCCACCTCTCCAAGACGACGCAGAAGGATACCATGGTCGATGGTATTGAAAGCCGCTGAGAGGTCAAGAAGCACCAGGATAGAGGAATGACCCCTATCCCGGGCTCGCCAGAGGTCATCAGTCAGTGTGACCAAAGCAGTCTCAGTGCTGTAGCCGGGCCTGAAACCAGATTGAAAAGGGTCCAGATAATTCGTTTCATCCAAGGATCGCAAGAGTTGGGACGCCACCACCTTCTCTACAACCTTCCCCACAAAGGGGAGGTTGGAGACAGGATGGAAGTTCTTCAAAACAGCTGGGTCCAGGGAAGGCTTCTTGAGGAGGGGCCTCAAGAAGCCTTCCCTGGACCCAGTAGTGATGGTAGGTTAAAGTCCCCCAGTACCATAAGTCTGGGGAACTCCACCGCCAACCCGGCTACTGACTCCAGCAACGCAGGCAGGGCTGTTGCAACGCAGCTGGGAGGTAGGTACGTCAGCAGCAAGCCCAACTGAACCCGTGAACCCAACTTCAATAGGAGGGACTCACACCCAACAACCTCCGGGGCAGGAATCCCACGAGGACTCAAGGACTTCCGAGCGATGACTGCCACTCCCCCACCCCTGCCCTGATGTTGAGGCTGATGAAGCACCACAAACCCATCCGGGCACATCTCCGAGAGGGAAACACCCCCCTCAGGGCCCAGCCAGGTTTCGGTTATACATGCCAGGTCCGCCCCGCTGTCCAATATTAAATCACGGACAAGGGGGGCTTTGTTGACAACGGACCTGGCATTAAGCAACAGCAGCCTACAACTAGGGCCCTGTACTCCCCTGTCACCCGTACTACAGGATGAGCCTTTTGAGGGGCCGGAACAAGGAATCGCTCTAATATAGCGAGTCCTCGTTCCCCAAAGATGGCCTGCCCCTCGGCTCCCACCATATCTGCCCATCCCAGTCATAACCAGGATGCTCCGACCTTCTCCCCTCCCCGGAGTACCCCCACCCTCACCAGCCTTCTCCCTTTCTGACCAGACTAGCTTTCCATACAGACCAAGCCCAAAGGTAAGTCCTGCCCCCCCCTACTTTTGCTATTGCACTCAGCAGAGGGGGTACCAGGCTCCGCCCCTGACTCCACCATTCTCATACCCCAAACACTCAGTACACATTCACACTCAATTTATATACATAAAAATAAAAATATTCACATTCATATGCCCTAAATACAATAATAAAATTTATACATAACAGGGCCACCATTCATCTACATACATACACATACCCACAACAAACATTCTCTAAAAAATATTGCCCCTCTGTGTCCCAGGCTGGTCCAATGTGGCCGGCTAGGTGATCATTAGGTCCTTGTCTTGGGGCAGCCCGTACTTGGCCTTATGCTCCTCAAAGAGCTGGGTCAACTTCTCCAAGTACCTCTCGTGCAGCTCATCAATGGCTTCTCCGGACATCCAACAATTGTGTAAAGTCAACCCAGCCACGGCGGGACTGTAATTCGTCTTCTTCCACGGGGTGCCAGTGTAGGCCGGCTCCTCCGGCCTGCTTGACAGTCTCCCCAAGGGCCCGTTCCCCAACGCCAGCCCGCCGCTTTCCCCGGTGGGACCCGGCAACAGCGTACAATTGAAGCTGAAGGTGCTGGCCTTGTTGTCACGCTTCCTCTTGTTTCTGGCCATCACCATAACGGCGACGGTGGCAGTTGCCGCCGGGGCAGCGAGTGAAGTCACGTGGGGAGCCCAGGTCACCAGAGAAGGCCCCGCCATGGAGCCCGAGGAAAATGACGCGGCGGCGGCAATGATGGCGGAGAAAAAGGAAAAGGAAGCCGCACGCGGGGCAGCGAGGGTCGGCTGAGCGCCGGGCCGGATTGCCCAAGCGGGTGGCTGCGGCGAGGCCTGCCACTGCGGGGGAGGCTGCGGCTGCTGGTGGGGCAGGCCAGCACTCTCCAGCGGTAGAAAGTTGAGCTGTGGGTCGCCGCCACACGGGACGCAGGATATGCCAGGCGGCGGGGACAAGGCGGCAGCGGCCTCCAGGTACAACGAGGCGGCCGAGGCGGCGGACGAAAAAGTCGAGGAGGCCGAGGAGGAGGCCGGGGCGGCGGGCTGGCAGGCGAGCTGGCTCCGAGGCCTATCTCCTCTTCCCTCGGTCAGCTCTTCCAGCCCAGTATTTCCCACATTCAAAGCTCCAGCGTGTTTGTTGCTGCCTCAGACTGGAATTCTCTAACTATGAGCACAATTTCATGAAGATTATGTAGCATCCTTGAATGTCTATTTGTGACTCAGCTTTACCACAATTGCTAAGTGAATTACTACAGATGTTAAGTGAATCATCCAATCGTTAAGTGAATCTGGCTTCCCCCATTGACTTTGTTTGTTGGGAACTTACAAATGGTGATCAAATGATCCCTGGATGGTGCAATTGCCACAAATATATGCTGGTTACCAAATGCCCAAATTTTGCTCACATGACCATTGGGATACTGCAATGGTGAAAATCAGTCATAAGCCACTATTTTCAGTGCTGTTGTAACTTTAAATGGTCATTAAATGAATGGTTGAAAATCAAGGACTATCTGTACTTGGTTTCATGTTTCTAGTGGAGCTATCAAATAAAAATTTGTCATATCTTGCCTTGTGATTGATGAAGAACAGTGTGTAATGTTTGAGAACAAACTGGACTGAGATTCCATCAGCCATCAAATCCTGTAGAGTTAAGAAACAGGCTGATGAGGTCTAGAGGTAAAGAAACATTAACAGGTTGTTGTGATGCAGAAATAAAGTTGCTCTAAATAAAACAGGAGGAGAAACTATTGCCCCAGACTCAAAATATTTTATCGTTTACCATGAACCAAATTTAAAAAGAGCCAGTTGGGTCTAATGGTTAAGGCCAAGTTAAAAAGTGGGAGGCCATGAGTTCAAGTTCCACCTTAGCATACAAAACCAGCTGAGTGTCTTTTGCAAGTCATTCTCTCTCAGCACAACCCACCTCACAAGGTTGCTGTTGTGGAGGAAAAAGACAGGGGAAGATTTGTTGGATATGTTTGGGTAAAATTAATAAAGCTAGTACACAAATAAATAAATAATCTGCAATGCTATTTTTCTGTAGTGGCTTGGATTCATGGTATACTGGTGGAAAAATTAAATTCCCAGTAGAAAACTACAGATTTTTGACATGACATTTTGCATGTTAAATATTAAAATCTTGTTTTTAATAATGCTATTAAATATGTGCTGTATTACATATTACTATCACTGGAGATAAAACTTTAGGAATAAATCTGTGCATACATTCATGAATGCCCAGAATTTTTAGATTCCTAATCCTGTTTCTATATTTACATAAAGAACTTAAAAGACATACACAGTGTACATAATTCTGCCTGCACTTATATAAGAGTTACTGATGTAACTCTTCAAATACTGCTTACTTATAGTCAATAAATTCTTTGGTCATGAGGAAAAAGTATGATGAAATGAGCTTCTCCTTAAAGTACAAAGCTAGTGTAAGTTATACGATATTCATTGTCTGCTTTTTAATGTTTTCTAATTTTTCATTATCCTTTTCTATTGTCTTTGTCTTGCATTGTTTAGGTTTGAAAAGGGACGGATCTACACATTCATTGGGGAAGTAGTTGTTTCTGTAAATCCTTACAAGAATTTGAATATCTACAGCCGTGATACAATTGAACAATATAAAGGGCGGGAGTTGTATGAGAGGCCACCTCATCTCTTTGCCATCGCAGATGCTGCATATAAAGCTATGAAGAGGCGATCAAAGGACACATGCATTGTAATATCAGGTGCGTCAGAGATACCTGTTACTTCCCATCATGGTGATATTTTAAACAAAACTGGAAGATTATATTGCATTGCATCCCAAACTAACAATGTGGTGGTTTGGTGTAAAGTGTAAGTCCAGCTTGGCTAATAAGTTCTATGATTGATTATTGAATGAGTGAATGAGTGAGTAATATTGGTTTGTTCATTCATTCATTTGTTCGTTCATTGATATTAAATGGCTGCCTATCTAGTAAATGTAATTAATTCTGGGCAGCTAATAGCACATTAAAACAATAAAAATTATTATTAGTAAAATTAAAAAAAACAAGGGTGGTCACCGAAGATGAACCCAACAAGACAATACAAAACATGGGACCCATCTACTCCCTTGTCCTGGAGCACATAGAGTGCTTAATGGAAGGCCAGCAGAGTCAAGGCCAATCTGATCTTGAGGAGGATATGGTGTTCCAAAAGACAAGTGCTTCAATAAAAAAACAGGCGTCCAAGGTCCCATAAGACAGTGGTTCTCAACCTTTTTATACGGCGCCCCCTGTGCAGCACACATGTGCGGCGCTGCCCCCTACGCGGCACGCATGCGCGGTGCCATCCCCTGCACCGGCTGACAAAAAAATGGCGGATCGCGTTGTTTGGCGACCCCCGTGAAATGGTCATTCGACCCCAAATGGGGTTGCAACCCACAGGTTGAGAACCGCTGCCATAAGATGACATTCTTTAATTGAAGGGATCCAGACCATGCCCCTCCTTTCAGACCTAATGGGATGGATAAAAACAACCAGTGAAAAATGATCCCACAAATATCTCAGCCCTGTGATATGGAAGGTTTTTAAAGGTAATGACCAGCATCTTGAATTCCACTTGGAAATACACAGTTCCTGTAGCAGAGATGTAACATGGATGTATAGTATTGAGGTACACCCAGAAATGCCAGTGTTTCCAAGTTCTGGATCAGCTGCTGCTTCCAGATGGTCTTCAAGGATAACTCCATGTAATTGTGTTGCACTAATACACTTGAGAGGTGACTAAGGCATGTGCCTCTGAACAGTGCCTCTTGATCCAGGAAGGGGTGCAATTGAGTTCAAAAAACAAAGTTGTGGAGAAGCCTTCCTCATTATAGCTGCCATCTGCTCTTCAAAGATAACTTGTGAGTCAAGGAGGACCCCAAATTGCACAATGGATCCATTTGGGTCCAAAGATGGAAAAACCCTAGATACAGTGGACCCTAAAATCCAAGCCACTCAGTTTACCAAGGCTGAGCTGAGTTCTCTTCTTCCCCATCCAGGAGCTCACAACCTCCAGAAACTGAGAAATATTATATATCAAATGTGATTTATAGATTTTTGTAAATATAACCTGCAAAAGTTATTTGCCAGATGCTCTTCTATTCCAACTTTTCTTTTTAAAAAAATCTAACACTTGTTAGTCCAATACTGTCTACTTTTCTTGCTAACTTTTATAAAGAGTTTCAAAGGTTTGCCTAGTTTTCCTATTGAACTAGAAAGTGAGCGTGAAGACATAGAGCTTAATATTAATTTCTTGAATAACAAAGAAGTTCATTAGGCACACTTGTTCTCTCTAGCTAGTGAAATAGATGTGATTGTGTTATGATGCCTGTCTTTCATTTGTGCCCTCAGGGGAAAGCGGAGCAGGTAAAACAGAAGCAAGTAAATACATTATGCAGTACATAGCTGCCATTACTAATCCAAGTCAGAGAGCTGAAGTTGAAAGGTAAGGCATTTGCTTTGGAGGGAAAAATGTCTGATTTAATTGAATGCAAAATATAATTGCTCCATAGGAAAAAGTAGAAATGAAGGTGCATCAATAGGGTGCAGACTTTTAGCTTCTCAAAAGCTAAAGAAAAAAAAAGAACACAGAATAAATTGTATCAAATGTTCAAGGTACATTATGGAGCTCTAATATCAAATAATGGCCTAAACCCTTTAATAGCAACTTGCTGTTGCATAAGAGGTGGCTAGGGCAATGCCAACATCCCAAAAAGTAGTTGTCCCTGTCTGACTTATTATCTTCTGAGAATTTTAATGTGTCAGGTTTAAAGTGGGTTAAACTTTAGGCAACCTGAATACAACTGCTTTCATTTTCTCCTTACTATTTCTGCTATTAGTCAGGAGCATAATCTCAGCAATATTATCTATATATTTTGTCAGGATAATCTTCTATTCTCTAAAGCCCCTAAATCCTTGAGCATAATTTGGGAAATTATAGTTGGCTTCAGATTTCAGTTTTTAATACCTACAATGAAGGAAGTGACTCGACGACTGTATTTCTGCTTTCCTAACATAGAATGAAGTTTGCTTTAGATGAAAATTGAGAATTAAGGATCTATTATTTGCTTGAGATGGCTTTCTGCTGACCACATTTTGGAGCATGGCCTCCTTTAGCCTATAGTAGAACTAACATGGCCATTAGGTTTCTTACCTAGAAAAAAACATTATGTCTGACATAGGTTCCTTTACTACTGGTTTTTGGGCATGTGTGTTCTTTAAAGGGTGAAGAACATGCTGCTGAAATCCAACTGTGTTCTGGAAGCTTTTGGCAATGCGAAAACTAACCGTAATGACAACTCCAGCCGCTTTGGAAAATATATGGATATCAATTTTGATTTTAAAGGAGACCCCATAGGTGGACATATCAATAATTACTTGCTGGAAAAGGTAACTAGGGCTTTCATGCTCATCCACAGATATCTTTCAGAAATTAGTAAAAATTACTATATTATAAGCATCTGGATTCAAAATAGAAAATTGAACTGAGTTCTTGGGATAATACTTAAGTATATGGGAAAGTTGGCTCTAACTTGCAAAACTTTCAGTAAATATAATTGTAACAGAGACCACTGTTTTAAATAGATTATCATGTGGTTGTAAGGAAATTTACTATTACATGTTTCGTGGCCTGGTGAAAACCTCAGTTAAAAATGGAATAGATGATAGGGCAGTTTTTAAGTGCTGTCTAGCTTTCTGTTGTGTGACTATATGTGAAATTATTTTTTTAGAAAACATATATTGTATGTTTCTCTTCCCTTTCACCCTCCCCTCACTCTACTTTGCTACTCTGTCAGAATCATAATCTTGGAATAAACACTGAAATTTTGATGATTTAGGAGTTATTTTTCAGGTATTCTCCCCATCTCCCAAATTGAAATCATGCAGCAGTTTCTGTTGGTTTGGTAACCATATCATATTTTTAGAATTAATCCTATTGGATAATTTGAGATAGATTATCAAACTTGAAAAATGTCCTAAAACCATGGGCCCCCTAAATGTTACTGCTAATAATAAACTCCCACTTTAGCTGTGTCTTGCCCTCTGCTAGTTGTGTAAGTTGTCAAATAAAAATCAATCTTGGATAACCCTATTAAGCTTTCTATCCTATTTCTAGTTTATAATTTGTGGTTTAACAACTGTTCAAAAAAGTTGCTTACAAACCCTCCTTGGATAAATGGGTTCATATTTATTTACAACAACCCAATGGTTCACTTAACGGATTAAAAGATGATTAATGAAAACTTAACCAGTAGTATTATTAAAGTCCTGCTTACCCATCTGGTTGTCACCAGAAAGTATTCTACCCTTGGTCATACTAAATAAAATGTTGTGGCAGCAGCCTCATAGGGCCTCCATAGCTGTGTGAAAACCTAGTTGCCCTTTGTAGGAATTGCCACCACACTTCCTAAACTGAAATTGATTCGTGCAAATGGTTCTTATGCCACTGTTGTTCTGCAAGACTCTCATTATTTGTTTAATTTATTTAAAGGACTTTATATGGCTGTCCATCTCTCACATGACTCTGAATTGCTAACAGCCATAAAACTTCAATAGATAAATAAAATAATAATAATAATAGTAATAGTAATAATCAATTATATTGTGTTATATTGCAATAACATAAATTGTGTAACTAGTTCCCATCCCCCTTTAAGCCTCCCAAGAGAGATATTATTTAAACAGAGAAAGATTAGGTTTAAAAACAACCTGTTTTTAATATTTAACTTAATATAAACAATTTGCTTAGAATAGTACAGGTTAAAAAATAAATTAGCAAGCTTATTTCATAAGGCTCTTTCCTTGTTCTTCTAGTCCCGGGTGATTGTGCAGCAACCAGGAGAGAGAAACTTTCACTCCTTCTACCAGGTGAGTTACAAGTGTGAAATTGGGCACATTGTGGGTGATCACTTCTGAATTCAGAGGAATGCACTCTTTACCTTCTTTGTAATGTTCCACATTGTTTTATCCTATCAGTTTGCTAATCCTTCTTTCTTCCCTACTTCATTCACAGTGCAAAGGACAGTCTTTGTATAGCCATTTGGCTGTAGATGATAATTTATTCCATTCTGAGGCTCAAAGACTGACTCTTCAGATTTCCTTTATCCAAATGTAATGTTAGTTGGTGTTTTTATTTTCCTTGGAAGAGAAAATCATACTGGTTCTAGCTGCAGATGGAAATAATTTCCATATACTTCATGGTTTTGCCTTATGTGCCTGCTAGCAATTATGGTAACTGGATGCCTGTCTTGGATACCTCTGAAACAGCTAATAGTGCCTTAGGGTAGCCTTTTACAAAGGACAATGTCTGCTTCAGTTGGAAAATAGGATTCTGTATTACTATACTTTTATGCCAGGCTACCATGTTGGTAAAGCATATTGTTTTCCTGGAGAAGTGTGAAGACTATGGCACTGATTTCATTTATTTGAGAAATATATGTGGTCATATTATACAAAACAACTCTAGATAGCTAGCAAACCCACAAATAATAAAAAATAATTAATTTTTAAAATTATATTAAGCTAAAAATTAAGATTAAAATTAAGATATTTTCAATGCCATTCAGCATATTTTAATAATAATAATAACAACAACAACCCCCAGTGAGGCACTACCTTGACATGGTTGTGGGGCTTGTGTACTCTGAGGAAGATGAAATCTATGCCAGAGAATCAACCATAGTGGACATGTCTCATCAGAGGAGTCAGACAACGAGTGTCTCTCCCATAAAAAATATGGTGAGACATAAATTTCAGAAAACCATACTGGCTCAGATGTCGCCCAGGTTAACAAAGTCTGCGCTAGAAGTTGGATTTCCTGGATATCTTTGTGAAAAATGGGCTACAGGATTCAGGACTGTTAGCTGAGCAACCAGAGCCAGCAGCTGCAAAACTACTGAAAGAAAAGGTGTTTACCTATCGCAAATACACAGTTATTGAAAACAAAGAAATAATAATCTTTTATTACAGATCAAGACTAAGAAGAAGAGATATCTGAAATGAATGCATCAGTTCTGGAAAGAACAACATCCAGAATCAGAAATAACAGAACAGAGATTAGGAGATTGTCGATTTATAATACGAAATAAAGTATTCATAGAAACAGAATTGGATGAACTTCAAAGGTTTACCCAGGGCAAAGAAATCAAAGCCTTGCCAGAAGTAATGCAGAGTGTAGAGGCAAACCAGGGGGAGTTAGCAGTAGAGGAATCCAGCAAAGGTATACAACTGTTTTCATTTGGAAACCAGATACCTCTTCCTCAGGAAGAACAAAGCCCTCTAACTAAAGAAATAAAAGAAGTGAAACAAAGAATACCTGAGCATCTAGAACAGCACAAAAACAACAGAATAAGGATGCCTGCATTGAAGCTTGTTCCAAAGAAACAGCTTTTGTTGTTGTTAGTTGCGAAGTTGTGTCCGACCCATCGCGACCCCATGGACAACGTTCCTCCAGGTCTTCCTGTCCTCTACCATCTTCTGGAGTCCATTTAAGTTCACACCTACTGCTTCAGTGACTCAACCAGCCACCTCATTCTCTGTCGTCCCCTTCTTCTATTGCCCTCAATCTTTCCCAGCATTAGGCCCTTCTCCAGTGAGTTCTTCCTTCTCATTAGGTGGTCAAAGTACTTGAGTTTCAACTTCAGGATCTGGCCTTCTAAAGAGCAGTCAGGATTGATCTCCTCTAGGATTGATCAGTTTGATCGCCTTGCAGTCCAGGGGAGTCGCAGAACTCTTCTCCAGCACCATAGTTCAAAAACCTCAATTCTTTTGCACTCAGCCTTTCTTTCTTTTTTTTTTTACAAAGTTTTTATTGAGTACAAAGAAAAAAAGGATTAAAAACATTGAACATGGTAAATCGTCTTTGACTGACATCTCAGTCCATGTTGTACATTAATTACATATAATATATCTATATACAAACTATACATTTCTGATCTCTATCTTAACTTATCTCTTTATTTGTGACCTCCATTTTTCTTCCCTCCATCTATAAAATTTATTCCATATTCGATAAAATTCTGTTTCTTCCTGATTTTTTAATCTTTTAGTTATCCTATCTAGTTCTGCAGAATACATAATTTTCTTTATTAGTACTTCTTCACTCGGTACTTCCATTGCTTTCCACTTTTGAGCAAATAGTATCCTTGCCACTGTAACCACATGAATAATTAAATATGTGTCCTCTTTATTTACATTTTTCTCTAGTATTCCTAATAGTAATGCCTCAGGTTTGTATAGAATGTTTTGCCTAGTCATTTCTATTGCCCATTCCCAGACTATACGCCAATACACCTGTGCTTCTCTACATGTCCACCATACATGAAAAAGGTGCCCTTTTCCTTTTTACATTACCAACACATAGATGAATATCCGTTATACATTTTGGCTAATCTGGCCAGAGGGAGATGTCATCTGTAAACCATCTTATATAGGTTTTCTTTATATGATGTTGCCAATGTGATTTTGTTATTTCGTTCCCATACTTGCTGCCATTGATCCATATTTATATTATATCCTAGATCTATTGCCCACGTCACCATTGTTTCTTTAACCTGCTCCTCATATAGCTTATGTTCAGAATGCAGCTGCGAGAGCGATTGTGGGCGCGCCAAGGTATGCCCACGTGTCACCTATCCTCCGCGAGCTGCACTGGCTTCCTGTGGGTCTCCGGACAATTCAAGGTGTTGGTTATCACCTTTAAAGCCCTTCATGGCATAGGGCCAGGTTACTTACAGGACTGCATACTGCCGCACAGTTCCCAGAGACCGGTGAGGTCCCACAGATTGGGCCTCCTTCAGGTCCCATCGGCCAGACAATGTCGGCTGGCGGGCCCTCGGGGAAGGGCCTTTTCTGTGGTGGCTCCGACCTGGTGGAATCAACTTCCCCCCGAGGTTCGAACTACTCCCACCCTGCCGGCCTTTAAGAAAGCCATTAAAACTCTCCTGTTCCGGCAGGCCTGGGGCTGATGTCCCCGGGGAGGGGCCGGGATATGATCGGACACGCTGTATGAATGTATTTATTTTATTGTTTTATTGTCATATTATTGTTTTAATTTTGTACGTCGCCCTGAGTCCCTTGGGATTGGGCGGCATATAAATTTTAGAAATAAATAAATGTTCCAACAGGTGTTTATAAATATTCTTTATTTGTTTTTTCTCCGGGCCTAGCAGTATTTTATCTAACCCCGTATCTTGTCTTGCTTATCCTTCATGTATCTTGCTTGTATCTGGAGGTAAGACCACCACTCCATGTCTATTCCTTGTTGTTTTAGTTCTTGTTTTTGTTTTAAATAACTTTCTTCTGTCAAGATGTCTTTATTTATAATAGCATTGTCTTTCCTATACAAATTGGGATATGTGACTGCCTCCAATGGTGATAGCCAAGCCGGAATCTTTGTGTAATATTGGCATTTAACTATATTCCAGCTTTTTATTAATTCTTGCCAAACCTTATATCTTAAAAAATATTGGTGGTTTCTGCTTTGCCCCATCCATATGTGAGCATGCGAACCCTGCTGGAGGTCATAACCCTCTAAATGTAAACATCTTTTATTTTCTAAGGTTATCCAGTCTCTAATCCATGTTAGGGCCACTGCTTGGTAATATAGTTCCCAGTCTGAGAAACCTAAACCTCCCCTTTCTTTGGCATCCTGTAATGCCTTTAATTTTATTCTTGCTTTCTTACTGGACCACACAAATTTTAAGGTTAATTTATTCAACCCCTTGAAAAATTTCTTGTCTAATTGAATTGGGATATTCTGAAACAGGAATATCATTTTAGGTAAGATGTTCATTTTCACTGCAGCAATTCTCCCAAGTAATGAAAGATGCAAATTTTTCAACGGTCTAAATCTACTTTTATATTCTTTACCAATTTGCCATAATTGTCTTCTTTAATTGATGAGCAGCGTGCTGAAATAACTATCCCTAGATATTTTATTTAGAAACTACTTGTATACCTAATTTTGCCTCGAGGTTTCCTTTTTGTATATTAATCATGTTTTTTGTTATAATCTTTGTTTTGTTTCTATTTATTTTCAAACCTGCCAGATCCCCATACTCCAATATTTCGAATAGTTTCTGTCCTGATTGTTCTGGGTCTTCTAATATAAATGCTAAGTCATCTGCATAAGTTTGAAGTTTGTATGTTTCTTTCTTAATCTTAAGTGCTTTAATCTGCTCTCCTTGTCTTACTACTCTAGCAAAAATTTCTAATAAATATATAAATAGCAGTGGCGAGAGAGGACATCCTTGTCTTGTACCTCTCTGTATGTTGAATTTATTAGTGGCCTCTCCATTTATTATGATCTGGGCCTTTTGTTTGGAATATATTGCGGTTATCACATTTAAAAATTTTTCCCCAACATCCATTAATTTTAGTTGTTGGATCATAAATTGCCAATTGACATTGTCAACAGCCTTCTGTGCATCAAGGAACAGAAGTACCACTTGACGATCACTATGTGATTCATAAAATTCGAGAATGTCTAAGATTGTTCTTATATTCCGCTTAATCTGTCTGTTTGGTAAAAACCCATTTTGATCCGAATGTATGAAATCAATTAGGTACTTTTTGAATCTCTCCGCCATTATTGAGGCAAAAATTTTATAGTCAGAATTCAATAATGATATAGGTCTATAATTTTGTATCCATGTTTTTTCCGCTTCTTCTTTTGGAATCAATATTATATTTGCCTCTGACAAGGACTTAGGTATTTTAGCATCGGTTAATACGGCGTTGAAAACTTCTAGTAGGTATTGATTGAGTGCACTTTGTTGTTCTTTATATAGTTCCGCTGGTATTCCATCTGGGCCAGTCACCTTATTGATCTTTTGTTTATTTATAGCCCTGATTATTTCAGCCATTCTTATTTCCTCATTTAACATAGATTTTATTTCCTCCGGAATCTTCGGTATGTCTGCCTTCTCTAAGTATTCTATTATCCTTTCTGCATTTTTTCCCTCATTTCTCTTACATAGTTTTTCATAGTATCTTTGGGCGATTCCCCTTTTTATAGTCTCCTCCCCCTGAATCTCTCCTTTCTTGTCTTCCAGATTAATAATCTGTTGCTTCTCTTTCTGCCTTCTTAGTTTATACGCTAGCTATCTTCCCGGTTTATTCGCGTGTTCAAAGTTATTTTGCTTAGCTGCCTGTAATTTTTGTGCTAACTTTTCCGAATCCTCTATACATAGTTTATGTTTAATTAAATCCATTTTGTTTTTCAATCCTTTGTTTTCAGGATCTCTCTGAAATTGTGTTTCGGCCTGTTTGTATTCTTCCTCGAGCCTCATCCTATATTGTTTTTTTCTTTGTTTCTCTTGGCCATATACGAAATTGCTGCATCCCTCATATATGCTTTTGCCATATCCCAAATGTTCTGCAAGGATGTATCCTCATTGTCATTCGCTTGAAAAAAAAGGTGCATCTCTTTCTCCATTCTTTCCTTAAATTCTTTTTCTTTAAAAATCACTCTTTGGAAAGTCCATCTTGGCCTGCTCCTTTGTTCTTTCAAGCGAAAACTTACCAGATTATGGTCTGCCCAGAGGCAGCTCAGCCTTTCTTATGGTCCAACTTTCACAGCCATATATTGCAACTGGAAAAACCATGGCCTTGACTATACGTACTTTTGTTGGCAGAAACAGCTAGCACAAGCATTAAAAGATGCAAATACTGCAATATCAAGAATAAGCACCAACTCACTGCAAAAAACAAACCAACTAATGTACAGCACAGCTGCGGTTATAACTGAATACCTGGGATGCAAAATCAACAAAGAAGAAAAAACCAAACAGTACACCACAAAAATGGAAGGTTAGACTGGAAAATAAGATCAACAAGTTAAGATCAGATGCAAGCAAGCAAGCTAGAACAGATGAAAGAAAAGAAGCTGAAGAACAAGACGACCAAAGAACACCTAATCAAGAAATACCCCGTAGAAACAAAGAGACCAAGGGACTAATTCTGGCTGCACAAGATCAAGCCTTCAGGACAAATGCATACAAAATGAAAATTGAGAGGACAGCAGCAGACAGTAAGTGCCGCTTATGCAAAGAAGAAATAGTGGACCACATGGTAAGCTGCTGCAAGAAGATCATATAGACTGACTACAAGCAACGGCATGACAATGTAGCAACAAAGGTGCATTGGAAGATCTGCAAGAAATATCATTTGCCTGAAAGCATGAACTGAGGGGACCATAAAATAGAGAAAGTCATAGAAAATGAAAATGTTAAATTGCTCTGGGGCTTTAGAATTCAAACAGACAGGCACCTGCCACATAACACCCCGGACTTAACAATTATCAATAAGAAAGACAAAAAAGTCTGGATAGTAGACATGGCAGTGCCTGGAGACAACAGAATAGAAGAGAAAGAAGTGGAGAAGATCACAAAATATAAAGACCTACAAATAGAAATAGAACGATTATGGCAAAGGCAAACAAGGGTAGTACCAATAGTTATAGGCGCCTTGGATACAATCCCAAAACAATTGTAGCACCACTTGGACACCATTGGTATTGACAAATTTGCCATCAATCAATTGCAAAAGGCGGCCTTACTAGGAACAGCTTCCATCCTGCGACAATATCTGTAATACCATCAATTCAAACATCCAGATCTGCCTATCCCAGGTCCTTGGTAAGGACTCAATAGGTAGACAAAAATGCCAAATCCAGTCTGAACATCTGCCTGACTGTGTGATGATCAATAATAATAATAAAAAATAAAAGCTGAGCTCACTTCCCATTATGCTCCAGTGAAAGAAGAGCCAGGTTTCAATGTCCTTTCAGGATAGACACCCCCCTCCCAATATTTTGGTTTAGATGAAACAGTTTAAATATTTTGGGATACTAGCCATTCTGAGCCAAGAGAAAGTTTTCTAATCCTGGAGAAACCATGAGTTCTTGAATATTTAATAGTTTAAGACAGCTCCATTAAAAGCTGCACCACTTATAACAGGATGAAAGAAGAGGGAAGGAGAAACAACACTCTTTAAATGAAGGATACCCCTTAGCTGAGATTCCAGAAGGAAGATCCTAAAGATAGATAAAGTATCAGTACGTAATTGGGTTGAATGCCGCTGGAACCATATATTTTTTCCTCCTCCAAAATAACCTTATGTAAGAGAGAATCTAAATTATCTGGAGTGACTAGTAAAGGAGCAGCTGTTGCAATGCTTGCCCTCACTATTGAATATGTGTTTATACTGTATGTTTGAGATGGATTATCCTATCAAGACAAAGTATTTTAGATGGTAATAATATAAATAATGCATAGCACCAAAAAGACAATTGGTTTAAGGCAGTGGTTCTCAACCTTTTTAATGCCGCGACCCCCAACTGGTCATAAGTCGAGGACTTTCCCTGCCCGGGAGCGCCGCGCATGCGTGGTGCCGCCCCCTGCGCCAGCCGAGGTGTAGCTGGCAAGCGGCAGAGACAGAGCAGGCCGACCACTGGCTGGGCCACCAGTTGGCCCAGCCCAAGGGAGGTAAGGCACCCGCCGGGCCCCACGCGCGCCAGCAACCCTCCCTGCGCCTGCAGGCCTTCCACCTCCCACCCCTGGCCCTCTTTTACTTACATTTTTAGTAGTTGCTCAGCAGGGAGGGGTGGAAACTTCCAGACAGCTCGCCTTCGCTGCAGACAACTTGCAGCACCGTTTGCAGAATGGGACTTTTGGCGGGCTCAGCAAGAGAGTCTATTCAAGAGAGTCTATTCTATTGGCTTTCAAAAGCCAATAGAATAAAAGGGAGTAGCACAGCTAAGGAAAAGGGGGAAAAATGTGGACTGTGTTGTTTGGCGACCCCCATGAAATGGTTGTTCGACCCCAAATGGGGTCCCGACCCATAGGTTGAGAACCGCTGGTTTAAGGGGTGTTTGGTGCTCTCTGGGCTTGGTAGTTTCCTTGCAGATGTTTCAGTACCCAAACTAGGTAACATCATCAGTGCTAGTGACTAAGACTGATGATGTTATTTAGTTTGGAAAATAAAACATCTGCAATGAAAAAATCAAGCTTAGAGAGCACAAGGACCCTCATTTCAACCCTGAGCTACCATTATTCTCCTTTATCACTACAATTGATTTAAGTAATTGATTCTTATCTTTTTAGCTTCTTCAAGGAGGCTCTGAGCAGCTTCTGCGATCTTTGTATCTGCATAAAGATTTATCTGCATATTGCTATATTAGTGTTGGAGCACAACCAAAGGTGAGGAAGAATCATCTTTTTTTTTTGACACAGTTACATGGTAAACTATTCTATTTCTTATCAGTCTATACATTTGGTCGTGCATTATCTAATCATAACTATGAATGTGGATTTGAATAGGATATGTAAAAATGCTCTGGATATTACAGGTAGACCTTGACTAACAACACTTCATTTAGTGATTGTTCAAAGTTACAACATCACTGAAAAAAGTGACTTCTGACCATTTTTCACATTTATGACCATTGCAGCATCCCCATGACAATAGACAACTGGCTCATATTTATGATGGTTGCAGTGTCCCAAGGTCATGCGACCACCTTTTGCAACCTTCTGACAAGCAAAATCAACAGGGAAACCAGATTCACTTAACAACTGTGGCAAGAAAGGTCATAAAATAGGGCAAAACTCACTTAAATATCTCACTTAACAACAGAAATGTTGGTTTCAATTCTGGTCATAAGTCAGGGACTACCTGTATTGTATCTTATATTACCCTACTTGTATTATATAAAGTTACCTATTTTTATTTGGAATTCTCTGCTATGTTCTTTTTTGCTCCTTGACAACAATAACAAAAACAGTTTCTAAATTTGGCCAAATTGGTTTAAAATTCTCCTTGCCACTTTTTTATTTGGAAAAATAGTCTAATTCAAATATTCAGCTGAGATATTTTCTTTTTCAACTGTGATTTAATTCTTTTTTCCTTGTTTTCCTCCAACCTCCACCATCACCCCCTAATTTGGATTCATTATGAATATTTTAATAAATTAAATAGACTTTCTCTTCTGCTTTTCTTTTTCCTACTAGCTAGTTCACATAACACATTTATTACTAGTACTAATACTTTATTATTTGTTTTGGCTGAAATATTCCTAGAGATGAGATGTCCCATTTTCTCTGCCTAATATCTCATTCTTAGTGCTGAGGCAAGAGAGTGATTTCATGTTTTGTTTGTTTGTTTTTCAGTGTGCCATTAATGACAGTGCAGATTTCAAAGCTGTTGCTGATGCAATGAAAGTAATTGGGTTTGGACCAGAAGAGGTTCAAACAGTGTACAAAATCCTTGCTGCCATTCTGCATTTGGTAAATGATTCTCTCTGCTATTAGACTTCTGGAAAGAAATGTGTGTTGTAAGGTTATATGAGGAACATCAGGAACAAGAGAGTAATAGTTACATTTTACATCTATACATGCACATTCCTTTTGATGAGAGACTTTAATTCTGTTTAAATATATTAGAGATCGTTGATATTCAGGTTTCAGGTTTATTTATAAAGATAGGCAACCTAATAGAATGAATCAGGTTTCCATGGTTAAAAAAATTACAGATACTCCTTGACTTACAATTGTTGTTTAGCAATGGTTCCAAGTTACAACGTCGCTGACAACTTACACTTACAACCATCACACCACCCACACAATAACATGATTACAATCTGGGCGCTTGGCGATCAGCTCACATTTATAACAGTTGCAGTTTCTTGGGGCCGCATTATCGCCATTTGCAGCCTTCCCAGCCGGCTTCCTACAAGCAAAGCCATTGGGGAAGCCATCAGAGAATGTTACAATGTCATCATGTGTTATCTCAGTTAACAACATCAGTGATTCACATAAACAACCACAGCAAAAAAAGTTGCAAAATCACTTTTGGTCAAGTGGTGCCTCACTTAACCTTTGCATCATTTAATCACAGATTTTCTAGTCTAGTTGTTTTTGTGAGTCAAGGATGACTTATCGAAACCTCCAATGTTCTAGTGGACATGTTCTTTTCTTAAGTTTAATAAGGGATAACTTTCCTAATATTGTCGGTGACACGATGTATCAGGAATTTGGTTCCCTAGCAAGAAATGGTTTAGTTAAGATGGATATGGAATAGCTATTATCCTAGTTTGAGATGAATCAAGGAAATAGCCAGAGTTTTCAAGCAGCTGCAGTGTCTAAATTAAGCTTGATGCTGAAGTTGATGAGGGAATGAACAAGCTTCTTTCATATTTTCTCCAGGGCAACTTGAAATTTTCTGTGGATGGGGAAACACCAATGATTGAAAATGGCAAGCTAGTATCTGTTGTTGCCGATCTGCTCTCAACTAAAGCTGATATGGTAGAGAAGGCCCTGCTTTTTCGAACTGTAGCTACTGGTCGTGATATCATTGATAAGCAACACACAGAGCAAGAAGCCACTTATGGCAAAAATGCATTTGCAAAGGTGAATATAGATTCTATCATTTCAGTGTGAAGTCTACCTTTTTGGTTTATGATATCTTCATTTTTAAACTGAAGTTAATATGACTGAATCAAAAATTTCAAAATAGCCATGCAGATAAATCCACACATAAATTATTAGTATTGGCCTGATTTTTCTGTCCATGTTTTTCCGTTAATCACTTGTAATGAACAATTTATATAAGAAAGGGAAAAGGTGACATTCTCTCCAGTTATCAAAAATATTCTGTCAGTGATCCATCATCAGGTGCCTTATTTCTTGTGACCAGAAATCAAAATATTGTTTGAAGTTTGTCTGAATTGCCACTTATCTTTGAAATTATCTGGGCATTTATGAAGTCTTTGGAATTACCGAAGTTTATGGATGATATAAAAATCATATTATGAGAAATTGTGAGATGGGATATGAGAAGGCAAGTGCATTACTGGTGTGCAGGAAGATCGGATTGCACACATTTGTAGCTACTTTCCAGTGAAACACATTGTATATCATCAATGAAGTTAAGACGTTGGTGGAGGAAGAATCTGGAACTGGCTGACCTGTTAAATGCCCTGAAAATTACCCCATTGCAGTTTTAATAATGCTACAACAAAAGAACAGCTTTGTTTGCAGCTTATTTGTTTAACTCACGTAAGATTTTTACTGCTGCAGTGGTAGGTTAGAACTGGATGGTTCCCAGTTATCTTTTATAAGGCTACAGTGACCTAACATAAAAATACAGACTTAAATTAAATCTGGGTTCTAAATCAGGAAATAAAATTGGCTGATGTACTTGGGTTTGTAGGCAATATATGAGCGCCTTTTCTGCTGGATCGTGATGCACATCAATGATGAGATTGCAGTGAAAGACCACAACAGCGCTGTTCACGGCAGAAACACAGTGATTGGAGTTCTTGATATCTATGGCTTTGAGATCTTTGACAACAACAGGTGAAACAGGCAATCAAGCATACATTGGGTTCACAGGAGGATTTACGACATTATTTACTGGTTTTTCCTTTTTTATAGTTTTGAACAGTTCTGCATTAACTACTGCAATGAGAAGCTGCAACAGCTCTTCATTCAACTTGTTTTGAAGCAAGAACAGGAAGAATATCAGCGAGAGGGGATTCCTTGGAAGCATGTGAGTGGATTTACATGGTCTGCTCAGAAAGGCTCGGTGATTACCCCACCCCCAAATTAAGACTTAAAATTTAGTATCACATGGGGGGGGGGATCCAATAGGCTTATTTAAAACATCAAACCTAAAGATCACAGTCTCTAGAAAACCAATTAATAAAGCCTGCAAAAGCCTTGAAGAAAAAGATCAGGCTTTCGTGCCTAAAACTGAGAACTGAAAGCAGACACATTTTACCCAGTTAAGAAGGTAAAGAAAATGGGGATGGTTTTCAAGAAAAAAACTATTTCTGTTATAACTGGATTTGAGGAAAGGGTTAAAAATATAAAACGTCAAGGAAGACTATTTTTAGCTGTTATATAGCCTAAGGGAGTCCTTATAGAAATAATCTTTTAAATACTTTGATCCCAAGGCATGGTGAAAAAGATTACAATCGGCAATCTGAGTTATGCCTGGAAGCAGACCAATAGCCAAAGCAGCCACAATAGCAATAGTACATTAGACTATGATCTTTGAAAACACCCTCTGCTCCTGCAGCCATGTATTCATGGATATACAAATATTCCTGTGTTCAGCTCCCTGTTCACCAAATTAAATGGGGGGATCAACTCCTTCCAGATCCCATTCCTATTGGATTGTTATCTAATGGGGCCTTGGAAATGGGCATTTAATAATAAAGAAGTTTCCTCTGAACTTCTTCCTGGCAGAGGTTCAATCAGCTTCATCTCTCTTAGGCTTTAGGAAAATTGTAAAGATTTATCTGTTCCAACTTGAACAGGAAGAGAGTGTACTATAATTGAAGGTGAGAACCATATGCGCATGTCATTTATATTTTTTGGTTTTATCTTTCTTGAGCTTTCATTTTTACTTGTATCTGGAATTGCATGTATTTGGAAGCATTACATATTGGAATTGTTAGCTATGTAGAATCTTGAGCATGAATAAAATACAAGCAAAATGAATATTTTGTATACTATAACTTCTAATGGGTTTTCATGGAATGTCCCATGTAGAATGTATTATAATAGTCTAACCAAGAAAAGAATAGGTTATCACCCAGTTCACTTTGGTGTATTCCAATAATGGTTATCATTAAACCATGGTTGAGCAAGGAACATTCCTATATAATGTAGTTGCTTCTTCAAAGAGATTGCAAGTGCATCTAGCTATGGTTAAACAGCAACATCCAGGTGATCCTTATTCTCATGGACACATGCTGGTTCAGGATACCCATACTTACACAAGCTGGAAAAAAATGTACCCATATACTGATAATATCTTCCCCTAAATTTCTGGAATATGATACATTTCACAACAGTTTCAGTACATAGAAAAAATTATATCCTAGTACAGATGTCCTCAGGGACTCCGCATATTTAATCATTTTTTCCAAGATTCTGAGACTGCTCTCAGAACTTTGAAGGAATAGAGAGGGTTTCTACCTTTAATGTTATTGGTATAAAGTTCAAATAAAGCAGGTAAAACTTGGAATATATATTTCCCATCTCAACCACAGAAAATGTTTTATCAGTACTTCTTTATTCTTCAGAATTCTCTAGATTTAGAAATCAGTTTCAAACTGTTGCTATAGAATTTGAACAGCTTGTCTTAAATCTGTCTGAAATATTGTATATGAATTTAGAATAAATCTAATTGCATTCCAAAGTAGGAACTGCATCTGAAGGAAATTTAAACGGATATCTTCTCATTTCCTTTTGTATTACTGATTCTAGTAGCACAGTGTACTTTTCCTCATAGAGTTTTCTTTAATATTTGTGCTCAAATATTCTGTAGATTGACTACTTCAACAACCAGATTATTGTTGATCTTGTGGAGCAGCAACATAAGGGAATTATAGCCAATTTGGATGATGCGTGCATGAATGTTGGAAAAGTCACAGATGAAATATTCTTGGAGGTTCTTAATAAGAAGTTGGGCAAGCATGCTCACTTTTCCAGCAGAAAGGTATTTTTGTCTAATCTGGCATTAACTATAATTCTGTCACTAGACTATTTTTTTTTACTTAATTAGCATTGAAATGTTTTATCTTGTACTTTCTCAATTGAAACAGATCAGTTTACACAAAATTTATCTTCATATTATACCACTGCTTCTAAACATGTGCCAAGAAATTTTGAAAAGCATATTTTTTAGAGTTTATAACTGATTGATTTTTTTTCCTAAAACATTTTTATCCTCCTGAAAGGTTTCAAAGAACAGTGCACAAAAAGGTAATCTCTATCCACATGTTCACAATTTAAATTGCAGTACCTAAAAAACACTGTACAAAAACAAAAATAGAACAGAAGACCATAAAAAACTAATCCACACAATATTTTCTTTATTATCAAGTTGACCAAGTCATATTATCAAGTTCAGCAAATGCCATTTCCTCACAGTGGAAGACTGCTTCCTCTCTGATGGGCTCAGAGTGTAGCAACATGGAAGAAAGTTCATAACTAGACCAGTGCTGCCTCTTCCATCTTCCCCTCTTCATGGTGTCTCGTTCAGTATATATTTAATCCTATTGGGATTTTAAGAACTAGAACACACTTTTTAATCCACGTCAAGCCATAAATTTGTAGGTGTTACGGCTGAATTGAAAATACATGAATTTTCAGTGCATCCCATTCCATCCATAATGTGGATCTGATTTTGATGATTTGGGACTTAAACTGAACTATAGCATTTGTTAGCTTGTAGTCTGTTATTACTATGGTGACATTGACTGGAGGAAGGAACCAATTGGCACATACCGAATATGTAGCTAAGATTCACAGATTGAGAGAGAGAAAAAATTAGGAGCCTATGGTTTGAAGTACTCCTCTGCTATAAATAATGCTGTTTCCAAAGGGGAAAAAATTAATATCCAGCAGAGGGAGCCATAGACTTTTCAATGTTAAAGAGAAAACAGAAGCAGAAGCTGACTAGACAGTGATGTCATTTATAACCAATAGGAGTCCAGTTTAATTTCATGTAACATTTCCTAAGCAAGTAAGAGTAGAGAATATGGCATATATATGTTTTTTATTTCAAAAAGGTGAGGAGATTCCTTTTGAAACTATAATTGAACAATACTTTTATTGGAAGCAAACAGAAATGCAACAAAATGGCAAATTGTTAGAGCTATTCAAAAGGCTAATTACAGAAAACACTGGGAGAGGGGGGTGTTAAGGGAAAAAACTAGGTTTGCTGAATGCACAAAGTCTTGATTTGATCATATCCATAAAATAGAGTGTTAGATAATAATTGCTGTCTTAAACAAATAGTACTGAATACTATACAGATTTCAGGTTGTCCCTAGGATTGTTAGAGTTGCCTCTAGGATTGTTAACAACTAAGAATAGCTAATCATCCATTTTTGAAAGTACATCATATAGCAGTTAATACATTCTATCTTCTAAGTGAAATGTAGAGATTAAGCACTTTTCATTATTAACAAATTTAAAGGGATGTCATTTTTACAGTCAGAAATAGTAAAGTTCTTTGTGAATTGATATAGCTTGGGGAGAAAATAGCATAATTACAGTTTTACCCATAGTTTATATGTTTTATAAATACAGAAAGCCACTGGAAGAGTAGTGATGATGATGGTGATAATGATGATGATGGTGCATACAAAGACAGAATTGAGAAGACAGGAATAGGCAGACTGACTACAAACAATGGCGTGACAAAATAGCAACAATAGTACATTGGAAGATCTGTAAGAAGTATCATTTGCCTGCAAGCAAGAACGGATGGAACCATGAAATAGAGAAATTCATAGAAAATGAAGAAGTTAAATTGTTCTGGGACTTTAGAATTCAAACAGACAGGCACCTGCCACATAACACTCCAGACTTGACAATTGTTGATAAGAAAGACAAAAGAGTCTGGATATTGGACATGGCAATGCCTAGAGATAGCAGAATAGAAGAGAAAGAACTGAAGAAGATCATAAAATACAAAGATCTACGAATAGAAATAGAACTACTGTGGCAAAGGCAAGCAAGGGTAGAATTAATAGTAATAGGTGCTTTGGGTACAATCCAAAAACAACTGGACCACCACTTGGACACCACTGGCATTGACAAATTCACTATCAGTCAATTGCAAAAGGTAGCTTTACTGGGTACAGCTTCCATCCTGCAATGATATCTGTAACACCATCAAACATCTACATCTGCCTATCCCAAGTCCTTGGTAAGAACTCGATAGGTATGCAAAAATGCCAAATCCATTTGAACATCTGGCTGTGCGAAGAAGGAGGAGGAGGAGGAGGAGGAGGAGGAGGAGGAGAAGGAGAAGAAGAAGAAACTTGATAACTTGGATCGAAAGACAAGAAAACTAATGACAATGCACCATGCTCTGCACCCAAAAGTGATGTTGATCGATTGTGCTTGCCAAGATCTCAGGGTAGCAGAGGACTTTTACAGATGAAGCTAACTGTGGAAGGAGAAAACATGGCTTAAATGACTACATAAAAAAGGAAGGAGACTCTGATGAAGGTTTAACAAGAGAAATGTCTTGAAAACAATGAGATTGAAAGCAGAATATCAAAAGGAAACAATTGACCATCAGATTTGTAACTGGAAAAACAACACTATGCACAGTCAATATCTGAAGAACATTAAAGGAAAGGTAGATATAAAGCTTTGCAGACCAATTCCGTGAAAGCAAAAATTCAACATATCAACAACGACAGCAAATATCGTTTATGCAACGAGAAAGATGAAACAATGGATCACCTTATCAGTGGCTACAGCAAAATCTCACAAATTGATTATCTACAATGTCATGATCAAGTTGCCAAAATCATACATTGGAAACCTTGCCAGAAGGTTCAAATGCAGCAAAAATTACTGGGAGCACCAAATTGACAAAATTCTTGAAAATGAGCAAATCAAGATCCTGTGGACTTTCGGATCCAAACAGACTATTGTGGAAAAGAAGAAAGTCTGGTTCATTGGTATTGCAATACCAGGTGATGCATGAATTAAAGAGAAACAATTAGAAAAAAATTACAAAGTACTGTTATTTTCAAACTGAAGTTGAGCGACTATAGAGGAAGAAATCAGTGGTTGTACCAATAATAATAGGAGCAATACGCAAAGGGCTGCCTAGATACATGGAAATACATGAACTGCCTAGATACATGGAAATTTTGAACTTATTAGTTCTGAATGTCCTGACTGCAAAAAACCACCTTACTCAAAACTGCCTATATACTTAGACACTACTTTTAACAATTCTTAGGTCCTTGGTTAGGATTTGAACTGTTAAGTTTTTACCAGTCCCTGACCTGTGAATCAAATTGAAGATTAGCCATAATAATAATAATAATAATAATAATAATAATAATAATAATAATAATAATAATAATAATAAACAGTGCTGTATTGGAAGATCTGCAAGAAATATCATTTGCCTGCAAGCAAGGACTGACAAAATCATAAAATAGAGAAATTCATAGAAAATGAAGAAGTTAAATTGCTCTGGGACTTTAAAATTCAAAGAGACAGGCCCTTGCCACATAACACCCCAGACTTAACAATTGTCGATAAGAAAAATTAAAAAAAATCTGGATAGTGGCAATGGCAATACCTGGAGACAGCAGAATAGAAGAGAAAGAACTTCAAAAGATCGCAAAATATAAAGACCTACAAATAGAAATAAAATGACTGGCAAAAGCAAGCAAAGGTAGTACCAGTAGTAATAGAGCCCTGGGTTCAATCCCAGAGCATCTGAACACCATTGGCATTGACAAATTCACCATCAGTCAGTTACAAAAGACAGCTTTACATCCTGCGACGATATCTGCAACACCATCTAACATCCTTGGAAAAGACTTGATAGGCAGACAAAAATGCCAAATCCAGTCTGAACATCTAGCTCACTGTGCGACAGACCAATAAATATAGTCAATTGGAAAAGGCGATTTTACTTGGAACAGTTTACATCTTGCAACAGTATTTTTAACACCATTAAAAAACAATATCTCCCTATTCCCAATCCTTAAAAAGGATTCTGTGGGAGGATAAAAATGTCAAATCCAGTTTAAACCACCTTGGTTGACTGTGCGATAAACCATAATAATTAACTTCAATAGCACTTTTAAACTAATGAAACTGATGAAATTCTTCATGATCAGATGTAAAATATAAAACAATTTTTAACATGTATTTGATAATATTGTGTCCAAATTTAACACAATAGAACTACAATATTAAGCTTCTTGCAGAATAAAAAGCCCAAGCAAATGTAAAATAAGAGCTTCGTGGCTCTTGTGAAACATGCATGAAAATAACCTTTTGAAAGACACTGTATATTTGATAAGTTTGGCGATAATCACCATAATTATTATCAAAATCATACTGGATTTATGTTCTAGCATACATGAAATCTAAGATTTTCATTTCCATTTTTCATTCATTGTAATTTGATGCTTTATTTGAAACTGACAGACTAAATGAGTTCAAGCTATATATTATAAAATTAGATTCGTCAAAAATCATTGTAAAAATTAATTACAATTTTAAATAAGATAGCAGACTAAGGTTGGTGAAAGCAGACATTGAAAGCATCTGATATTCTTTTTTGTGTCTGTGTTGGAGGAAATGGGAGGGAGGTCGTGTTCTTTCATGCTAGAACAGTGGTTCTCAACCTTTTTATAGCCGCGACCCCGGTAGTAAGTTGAGGACTACCGGCCCGGGAGCGCCGCGCATGCGTGGTGCCGCCCCCTGTGCCGGCTGAGGCATAGCTGGCAAGGGGCGGTGGCAGGCAGGCCCGGGCGCTCCCGAGCGGCAGCGGTGACGCAGGGTGACCACCAGCTGGGCCGCCAGCTGGCCCCGCTCAAGGCAGGTAAGGCACTTGCCAGGCCCCACGCGCGCCAGCAACCCTCCCTGCGCCCACCGCTGCCCCGCTAGGCTTACTTTGGCCGCTGCCCATTCAGGGCGGCGGCAGGCAGGCCCAGGTGCTCCCGGGCAGCCGCGGCGGCGCAGGGCGACCACCGGCTGGGCCACCAGCTGGCCCAGCCCAAGGCAGATAAGGCACCTGCCAGGCCCCACGCGTGCCAGCAACCCTCCCTGCGCCCACCAGCCTCCCACCCCCGGCCCTCTTTTACTTACTTTTTAGTTGCTCAGCAGGGAGGGAAGCTCTGCAGACTGTTCCCTTTGCGGCACCGTTTGCAGACTGGGGCTTTTGGCAGGCTAAGCAGGGCAGAGACAGTCCTGGACAATTCCTACTGGCTTTTGAAAGCCAATAGAATTAGACTCTGTTCGCAAGCCAGTAGAATAAGAGGGAGTAGCAGAGCTAAGGAAAAGGGGAAAAAATGGCAGAAAAAATGGCAGACCACGTTGTTTGGCGACCCCCGTGAAATGGTCATTCGACCCCAAATGGGGTCGCGATCCACAGGTTGAGAACCACTGTGCTAGAATAAACAATGGTTTGCCATGCTATACAAAACTGATCAGCATATACCGTATATTCCGGCGTATAGGCCGACCTGGCGTATAAGACAACTCCCGAGTTCTACACCGAGTCGCAAGATGATCGACGCCGAGTCGCAAGACGATCGACGCCGAGTTGCATGGCTAGAAAGTCATCTTATATGCCGGAAACTACCGGTATTTCCGGCGTATAAGACGACCGATGCCGAGTCGCATGCCTAGAAGGTCATCTTACATACCAGAAACTACCTTATTTCCGGCGTATAAGACGACTCGGCGTATAAGACGACCCCCGAGTTCGGCGCCTGTTTCAATGCTCTCAAAAGTCACCTTATACGCCGGAATATACGGTAACTCATCTGCTCTCATTGTTAAAATTAAACTAAATGAAGGAAATATTGTTCAAACTGCAGTACAGTTGAAGATGATTTAACAAGCATTATCACACAGTTAAAATAAATGTGTTGATTGATTATTGAATTAAATAGACAAATGCATAACATTATGCAGGAAATCATCTTATAAATTAATACTTCTGCATTGAGAAGTACATTCTGTTTTCAATGAAAACTGCATGTTTGTGGTTTGGCAGCACAACTCATTTGGAATTACAGATCAAGCTTGTCTCCTTCCTTTTCCAATAATTAGAATTGATGGTTTTAATAATTTCAATTTTTCATCTCAGTCTTAGAATTAAAGTATGGCTTATATCTTCTTTTCATTTCTGTGGATATATGAATCCTACTTCTTCCATGTATTTCATATTTTGTTTACTGTATGGATTTGTATTTTTAAATGCATATTTCTTATCTTTATATTGCCAGGTCAATATTTCAAAAAGTGAAATAGAATGAAGAGTCAGATAGGGTCAATCAAACAGGTTGTATTTCAATATCTTACTAAAAGCAATAATGGAAATATTGAGAAGGGTATATTCATCATCACAGTTCTATATTAACTGATTTACTTATTGATGTGTGCATATAAAATGTTTTACACTTTTTTGTATTTAATTCACCAGGTGTTTTTTTAAATGAAAAAAGCCCTTTGTAAAGGTCATGTTTTGTGAAAAGAGCCCTTAGTAAACATCATATGCATTTGTTTCCCATGTGTTCTATCACTAAGTTGTATCAAATCACTAAGAAATACACTGTCTTGTCTTACAGAAGCTTGTATAGCATCTGCATTAAGGAAGGAGCTTTCACAACTAGATGTAGCAATAATTAGACTTCATTCAGATCTGTAACTGAAAACCTGCTGAAAGTTACCGGCAATTGCATTTTAATAATTACTTTTTAATCCATTTGTTTTTAAGCTTTGTGCTATGGATAAAAACCTGGAATTTGATAGAGATTTTCGGATTAAACATTATGCTGGAGATGTTATGTAAGTTTGTTTCTCGTATTTGTTGTCCTGATTCATATTAAAATATTATAAATGCATAGTTGCGTAATTATAGTTGCACTTTGTTTTTTCTTCTATATTTCCTTTTGCTTTTTTTGCAATGTAGGAAAACATCTGAAATTATTTCACTATGATATCCAAATAATTGGTGTAGCGTATATACTATATTGTGCTATAAAAATCCAGACATCTTATTGACAACACCTGCTCAATTTCCTGCCTTATTGTTCCATGCATGATAGTATATTCTCCTCCTCCTCCTCCTCCTCCTCCTCCTCCTCCTCCTCCTCCTCCTCTCTCTTTTCTCCAATTAAGATAGATTAAACCTGAGCTCCTTTTCAACTCTGTGAAGTAGATTGGGCTGAGAATGAGAGTAACTGACCTAAAACAGTTAGTTCCTGGGATTTAGGTCTCCTCAGTTGTAATAACATATCTTAATTGCTATGGTGTATACCAGTGATGGCAAACCTATGGCACATGTGCCAGAGGCGACACTCAGTGCCCTCTCTGTGGGCACACTTGCTGCCACCGCCGGCAGCTCACACAGGTACATTAGGCCTGGGCTTTTCAACATTTTTATCGATTGTACCACTTTTAGGATATGGCAATATTCAAGTACTACCTAGCAAGGTGTCAAAAACTTGATGATCAAAAAAAAAACCTGTTCAAAGTTGCAGTTGCACTGAAATGATTTATGACCATTTTTCACACTTATGACCATTGCAGCATGCCCAGGGTCATGTGATTTATATTTGGATGCTTGGCAACTGATTTATATTTATAATGGTCACAGTATTCCAGGGTCATGTGATCCCCTTCTGCAACCTTTTGACAAGCAAAGTCAATGGCAGAGCTGCTGGTGGCCAAGTGCTAAGGTGGGACTTCCTTTCCTCCCTCCCTTCCCTGCCTCCCTTTTTCTCATTCCCATCTCCTTCTGAAGGAAGAATTTGAACCCCCACACACATATTTTCACTCTTCCATATATTGATCAAACAAGGAAAGGCCTCCAGAGACAGAAAAGACAAGCTGCTGAGTGAACTAGCTTAGAAAGACACATTCCCCTTTAAGAACTAGCTACTGGCTAGAAAGGAAAGTAAGGAGTGCAGCCGGCACTTAAGGAAGAAAAGAAATGTAAGTACTGGCTGCCGGCTAAGGCAGCCTCCCCAAATGGCTCCATTCTTAAGTAAAGGAATGCTACAGGCAAAATCCATTCAGGAGAAAAATACTTCAAAATCCCTTGCAGCAAAACTTACAGCTAACAATAGCAGAGCAATAGAAGCTAACACGAAACATCAGCCAAATAGAAATTGCCAAACACTCCTTAAGAACACAAAGCCCGCCTTGCACAAATCCCAGAACTTCAAAGTCACAAAAGTACATAAGAATCCTTCCACTCTCCATCTCCCTCCCTCGTGCCTCACTTCCAGCCATTGCTATCTTTTTTCATTCCTCTTGGAGGGCGACCCCTCTCCTGCTACATTTCTTGCCTGTTTGCTGCTGCCAGCACAGGTGGCTGCCACAGCAGTTGTAGATCAGCTCATGGCCAGTCTGTTTCATCATCATCATCATCATCATCTCCTCCTCCTTCTTCTTCTTCTGTGCACCTGACTCCACCTCCTCCCAAGGCTGCTGCTTTTTTTCTCTCTCCCTCTCCTGCCTCCTTTTATAGCCTCTCCTATCTCTGCTCCCCTTTCTCATGGGGGAGGGTGAGCCAGCAGTGAGCCTTGGGCCTTTGCAGCGCCAGAGACTCTCTCACTGTAAGTCCTTGCCTGTGCTGGCTCTTTCCCTCCCCCACTACACTTGGCTAGGCAGGGCTGCGTACCACCTGCCACTCATTAATGTACCATAAGTGGTAGTGTACCACTGGTTGAAAAGCCCTGCATTAGGCCACCGCTGGCGCCCGGAGTGGCAGCCCCACCCAGGACAAAGGAGGCAAAGCAGCTGGCTAGCAAGCTCGAGAAGAGGTAGTAAAGCACACCCCCATGTGCTCACTGGCCTCTGTGGGGGGGTGCCATTGCTACTGCCTGACACCATCAGCCCACCCCAGCCATGCCCATTCAGTCTGCCGTGAACATCGCAGCCACGCCCACCCAGTAACCACAGCCCTCCCCCTCCCGAGGGCACCACAATGCTCATGCGGCTCTGGGTTTTGGGTTGCGATTTGGGCACTCAGTCTCTAAAAGGTTCGCCATCACTGGTGTATACTATGGTATAAACAGTTATTTATGGTTGTGGAAAATTAGGACATTGATTATTGGGAGAATATGTGATTTGAAAGTCAAACCCAAATACATCCCAATATTCCCAGTTTAAGAATTGAAAAAAAAACCTCTGCTGACACTTAGGACACTGTTGATAGAGTTGATAAAAATTTCTGTACCTAATAGTACAGAAGATAGTTCTAGTAGTATAATCTTTATACTACAGAAATATAAATATGCCTCTCTCCTACCCAATTTAAATGTATGCTGTGAAGTTAAGGTAAATAAAAGGCATAATGATAAATATAGAAACATAGAAGAATAGAAATACAACTTTGCCATCCTCCAAAGTAGCATAAACAGTCATTTCAGCTAAAACAGCAGCTTTAAGGCAAAGCACAATTTAACAAATGTTTGGTTTTGGTTTTTGTTCTTTTTCGCTGCACAAGCTTTTTTAATGATAACAAACATGTTTAACCTTTCTTAAAACCTGTTACCATTTATTTGATAATATATGATACTCCAATTCTCCATTCAAAATTGCTTCTATATTGCACAAATTTAGTGTTGCATTTTTAAAAAATGATTTGGTAATAATGCGTTGTCAGTTTAGTTGCAGCAAAGACTTTTTTATGAAATCATGGTGACTAATAGAAAACTGTGATGGTACTAAAAAGATAGTTATTATGTACTCCTTTTTTGATATTAGGCTGATAGCTTGGTTTTATTCTATTGTATTTCCTACATTAAGGTGTACAAAACATATTTGGAAAATGTTAAGGCAGAGGTATAATTTTGACACTTATTCCCATGATAAACTAAAGCCTTTTTGCATGTCATACATGATTAAGAGATATAAATATTTAAAATCAATTTATTACTAGTGAAGTCCTCAAGCCACTTAATCATTGCAGGGGAAAGTTGGATTATCTGAGATTGCAAAGTGGCATTGTAAACAACTAAAATTACCTCTTGATTGTTCACTTTGGACACTTGCATTATAAGTGTTTAAAACCCCTAAAGATGGACTTCTGGTTTGCCAATGCAGCTACCACAGACGTTTGGAAGGCGACCTCCGTCTTCCAGGTATGATTTCGCACTGCTGGGGGACCCTGGAAAGGGTCCAAAGTTGCCCTGTAGGAGAGACCAGCGAGGAGGGGATCCCCGCATAATCATGGGAGGGCGGTATCCCTTCCGCTTGATCCAGGGCAGTCCTCCAAACCAGTGGATGAAAGACCTGCCATAGAAATATGGCTTGTCACTAGGCTGCAGACAGCTGAAGTCAAATTCACCACCAGGCTGGGTGAGATCTACCTCTCTTAAATCCTAACTATTTTTTCTACCTACATAAGCTGCTACTTTTCCCCCTGTGGAGAAGGAAGAGAGATTCTATCCCATCCTCTAAAAACAGTGGCGACTGACTATCCAGAGGAGTTTAAAATGTTGCAAGAATAACTTGATTCTAATTGGATTTTTATTGTTTTAAAATTTGTGGACTAAAAGATTTTTTTATTCTTATTGAAGATCTGGATTTTTACTTATAAAAAAGAAGTAAGATTGAAAAGACTATAAAAATTTTGGACTTAAAAGAAAACTCTAAATGGTATGGGTGACATCTTGCGGTTAAACCTGATATTACAACTTGTTATTGCTTAAAAGAGACTTGACTTGTAGCCCAGACTATAGATAAGACTTTTGTAACCTTGACAGATATCAGCTGCGAGAAGCCCAGCTGTGTTCTATACTCAATGACAAAAAAGCTTTTTCTTTCTCTGATTGTAAAGCTTTTAACTTAGCACACTACTAAGAAAACATGGATGAAGATCAGGATCAGATTCTCTTTATGTTGAAAGCAATCTATGAAACTATTCTTACAGCTACTGAGAAAATAAGAAGCTACAGAAAAGAACAAGATGTCAGCCTAGATATATGAACCCAGACTTTGATCACAACTAAAAAATTAACTACGCAGAATATAATAGAAGAAGTGAAACAATTAAATACTATGACAGAAGATTCAACTGAACAACAAACACAGTTAATGGAAAACCCAGAAAAGGGACTGACAACATGGAAAAGGGAAAAGACTTTCTATATAAACCAGAAGAAACCTGAGGATCAAGAAGAAGAACAGACTGAAGAGAAGACAAACGGTTCAGGACAACTACATTGAGATGGAAAAACAGAGAGACGATTTGTTAATCCTTTCAAAAAAAGTGGCGACCGGATGGCTTTTTCTACTTCAAACAATATACATAACAACACAGGGAGATGTATTTGATGACTTAAAAGCAAAGACATGGAAGACGAGTTGCCAAAGAAAGAAAGAAAGCTAGAATAAGACTGAAGAAAATTGGGGTTTTGACTTATTAGTGAGAATTAAAATAGAACATACTCAAATAGATAAGATGTGTATTTTGAATACTAGATTTTGTTATGAGCTGAGATATTTAAAACTTGGAAGTATAAACACTAACAGTTAAATTTGAATATTGATTTACTTATAAAGGTTAAATGTAAAAGTAATTAAAATATATATAAGCTAAAATCTATTGATTATAAATATGTTTTTATTTAGTTATAATAAAAACAAAGCTTAAATATGAGATAGTAGATATCAAGAGAAAAAGAGAGAAAGTATTAAATGTTGAAATAAGAGAAATTTTGATTACTAAATTTAAGATGTTTAGAAATTAACAGAAAATAAGAATGTTATATTATTAATTAATTGATGTAAGATGTTGAGAAATAGAATGTATTCAGATAGATAAGACGTGTATCCTAAACATTAGATCTTGTGATGAATTGTGATAAAGGGAACAGGTTATTTAAAACTTGGAAATTATAAATATTAAATGTTAAATTTAAATATTAATGAGAAACTAAAAATTAGGAAAAACTAATTAGGACATTGATTGTCTATAAAGATTGAATATTAAAATAATTAGGATATGTATAAACTAAAATTATTGACAAATGTAAGAAAGTTATTTTTTTATTTAATCGATATAATAAGAATTGTATTAGTTTAAATATGAGACAGTAAATACTAAGGGGGAAAGAGGAAATATTGAATGTAATAGTTTGAGATCTGTACTAAAGATACTTATATGTTACTGAATAATCGATTAACTCAGCCACCACGTTGCTTTTCAAATATTTAAATATAAAACTACAAAATCAATAAAATTTTCTTTTAAAAAAACATTAAAGATGACACTGATGATGAAAAAGAGCAGGAGGAATGTTTACTGTCCTTTGACTTAAAGTATTGGAAAACTGTACATTGCTTCTTGAAGGGAGAATCTTTGAAAGCTATTTTTTCTTAACATTGTGTTTTAAATATTATTGATTTTCATCGGACTTTTTAGATTTTTAATTTTTGTTGATTTCTATTGATGTTGACTTCTATTTTGTTGATTTTTATTTATCTATTTTTCTCTTATTTTCTAAGTCCAGGTAATAATTTTATCTCAGTAGGTAGCTAGTATTTCAGTGCAGCTAATTATCATTTTTTTTAATATTTACCAGTTATTCAGTCACAGGATTCATTGATAAAAATAAGGACACTTTATTTCAAGACTTCAAGCGTTTGATGTATAACAGGTAAGAATAACTTTAACTATCCATTTATTTCTTTACATAGAACAGGCCAAATATGACTATATTGCTGTCTTTTTTTTTAAATTCTTTTTTGTATTTTGTAGCTCCAACCCTGTACTGAAAAAGATGTGGCCAGAAGGCAAACTGAGTATAACAGAAGTGACCAAGCGGCCACTAACTGCTGCTGCACTTTTTAAGAACTCAATGATTGCCTTAGTGGACAACTTGGCATCCAAGGTAAGAAGTTCCTAACTCAGGAAAGGTGATCTTTGACAACTATCTGTTATTTCATTACTGTTGCTACTTGTGAAGTCACTCTTGCCTTGAACCTATCAGCAACAAAATTCAGTGTAAGATTTCAATAGGGCGTTTTGGGATCAGAATGTTAAAGAATACTTCCAGCATTCATCTTCCTTCTGGCATTGAGAAAACTCCAAGATTATAGAGTGTGATCTGCTTATGAGAAGGGAGTGAAATCTGTGTTCCCCAAGCCCAGATCACACAAGAATTCAGAACATGACACAAACATTTGGAATAGGTAATAATAATGTAAGCCCAGGCTATATATTTTCTGCAAAAGAACACAAACAGCAAACAAGAACAAATCTGTCAACGTAAATGGTTCACATTTCTTGATGCAGCATGTTTAAAAAAATTTCCCTAGAATTTTTGCGTAGTGCCACATATAAAATGATCTAATCTGCAGCTATAAACAGTTCAACTGCACCATTGTGAACTTGTAGATGCTGAGAAGAATAAAGATGTTCTTAACATCTGTCTGAATTGTAGCTAAGTCAGTGTATGATTTATTTGTGGGGGGGAGCATTTCTAAGAATAGGTACTACAGCAAAAAGCTATTTATAGATGTGGCACAATTAAGTATCTTACTATGATCTCAGTAGTTTCCAGGGGGTACTATATTGTTCTCAGTGTTTTATCCAGGAGTTAATATTTTAAAGATAGGAAAATAACTTACCTTTTATAATGGCAATCTCTACTGAAGATAATTTGAAGCAGCCCTTTCCTGTTTCCATAGTGCAGTTGGCCAACTGAAGCAAACCCAAAATATTATTTACCAATGGGAACGTGTGCTAAGCTAAGACTTTGATATTCCAGGTATGAGAAGGGGATAAATAAAATATAGTAAAATAAACACACAAAAGGAATGGCACGGAGCAAAGCCTGAAATAAAAAGGAGAATAACATTCCTCAAGACTTTACTCGAGGGTTTAAATGTAAAACAATTTTTATGTGGAACATAATTTTTGATTATAAAAATTGTATACTAGCATTTCTCAAAAGAGACTCCTGAGTTTATTCTTTCTGTTTTATGGTTTTGAATATCTTAAGAAATATAGTGGCTGAACTCATCAGTTAAATCTATTTTACCAATTTATTTAGTAATGAATAATTTGGTTAACTTTCATCCTTTCTTCAGAAAAACATATTCTTCCGTTTACTCTATTTTGCTGAAGGATTACTTCTCTTTCACTGATCTCAGTTTTATAAATATCCGTATTTGCCTTATGAAGTATTGTGGCCCTATTTACTATTATGGGTATCTGTGGGAATTTTTCCAGAGAGGAAGAGATAAATAAGTTACAGTAAAGGGTGCAGCTTGTCAACTTCCCTGTATCTGTGCTTTTTGGTTTAGTGTAATGTTTGATGATAAATATGCAGTATGTAAGATAAAAGAATGTATAGTATATTTTGACACCATGATTCATAATAAATTTTAATACATTTTGTCAATAAAAATACTCTTCTAAAATAAGAACATAGTAAATCATCTTGTTCTATTGAATCAATCAGACCATGGTCCAGCTAACAATATTGCCTACACTAAGTGGCAGCAATTCTTCAAGTTTCTGACTGATTTATCTCAGTGCTGCTTGGGATTTCTTTTAATGATGGAAAAAGAGGGTTAAAAATGTTGTTATTATAGATGAATAATTGCAGTGTGTTTTAACACTAAATTAACACACTTCTCTTTGTCCTGCAAACATAAATAAGTTTTCTTTAGTTAGCAGTATTGAGTCTGAATTTATAGGAGATGTCTTACATCCTGGGGTTGAGAAGGAATGGGTTAGGGTTAGGGATCCAGCATCTACAGGGCTATCTGTTCTATCACAAATGGCTCTTAAGATCCAAAGAAGGAGTTTTTTTGAAGATACAACCTCTATCAAAGGTATATCTTTTTGACATTTAGGAGACAACCTTCTCCTATGCTGTTCTGTCCCAATACAGCTGCTATAAAAAGAGATGCTTTAATTATCAATTGTATTAAATTCATTATTTTAATTTATTTATTTTATATTTCTATATTCTTTTTGTTTTTAAATTTTGACAGCAACTTTGGGAATTAATCTAAATAGAAAGGCTTAACCTATGTATATGCATAATTTAAAAAAAAAACAGAGCAGGCCTTCCATAAAATAAAAGGACAAACATTTGAGGAAATGATTTCAGAAATGATTAGGAACTAGCTTTTTTTATTTTGCCTCAATAAAGGTTCTTTATTTAAATGACAGTTGGGAATTTTGCAAATAGGGAAATTTTTCTACCATCTTTCAAACCCGTTTCCAGCAGAGATCTGTGCTCTCAGTTTAGCTTCTTAACTGATTTTAAAAAGAAAGAGATAATAACTAACAAGCCAACAGAATTTTATGATAGTTGCAGTCTCTTTCATTAAAAGCTAGATCAGTCTTGGCAGAAGAAAACATACATTGGTCAAATTTTTCCTTCGTCTTCCCTCTCTTCTTTTTCTTACTGGCTGGCAACTGTTTTTCTGAGAAGTTCTCATAATAAAGATGCCTTTGAGAACGTTGGATTCTCTAATGGCTGACACTCCTGCTACTACATAGGATGTTCAATACTTCTTAGGGATAATGACCTCTTTATTTCTAAGAGTTGCATAGCAGGCAAAATTCTGCCAACTGTAGTTTTTGTAATTGCAGACTGGCAATCTTAAGATGACAGTGAATAGTAAGAAATTGTAGCAATTGATTAGGATATTAAATTTCATATTGACTAAGTTAGAAAACCAATGACTTTTTTGCTGGATGCCTGTAGTAGTCTCAGGAAGTTCTCTTTTTTTGTAAATATATTGTATTGATTTTTTTAACATAATCACCATAATATTTGGTAAATAGTGTGTTGTCTGGGTTTATATTAAACAATCACTAACCATTAGTTTCTATAATCTATAATACATATAGTAGCTTTGCTTGATTTTCTCTTCTTCCAATAATATTCTCTTTGCCAATCTTGAATTAATACAAGTCTTATTATTTTGATAAGTAACTATTAAGTTAAGTATAAAGATTTTTCCAACATTTCTACAAATAATAATCACATCCATATAATGCTTCCTTTCTAGCTAGACATCTTGGTTGCCTCGTCATAAATCCTGCTTACAATTCTTATTTAAATTTATTTTCTCCACAGTGTTCAAAACATTCTTAGTAGTTAAGATTTTCTCAAAGTTGATTACACTTAAATATTTAAGTCTATTTTCTTCGTACAAGCCATCTTATTTCTCATAGACTGTAGATAGATAACATCATTTATCCCCAGTCTACAACACAGTCCTTTCAACAGTTCCAAGAAGGCTCCACATCCATTTACACTACTCAGGTGACTCTGAAGACACAGATAAGCCTCCAGGTAGCACTAACTACTCGCTAAAAGAATGCAAATGACCAGCAGTCTGCAAGGAGTATAAATCTTTCCATGCCCCACCATCCGGTCAGAGCTGAAGAAGCTTCTTGGATGAGAAATTAAACGTCTTCAAAGAAAAACAAGAAAGTCCATTTCCTCATGAAAAAGCACCTTTGGGATAAATAGATCTGTTATTTGCATTCTGGAAATTCATGAAAGATCTGAAAGGAAATCTTTTATTATTTCATGTGATTTCTAGGAAAATATAGTCTTGTTTTTCTAATGGAATTATATAGGAAAAGATTAGGGGTCCTTCTTCCTTAACAATAGTTAAAGAATTGGGATGTTAACTTGCTTTCACCTTACTCTTTTATTTTATCTGTTAATTCAAATACTGTTGTTTCTGGTTGCTTTCTTTTAGGAACCATACTATGTCCGTTGCATTAAACCCAATGACAAGAAGTCACCACAGTTGTTTGATGAAGAACGATGCAAGCATCAAGTTGAATATCTTGGACTTCTGGAAAATGTAAGAGTACGGCGGGCAGGATATGCCTATCGCCAAACATACGAAAAATTTCTTCACAGGTAACAATTGATGAAAACTTTGCAGATTTATTATATTTAACAACAAAAATATGTTTGTGGCTTGACACTACATTAGCATTCTTACACAAATCACAGTTATGTCTTAAAGTAACTTTAAGAGAAATGTTATCAAGATTAGTGAGAACAGCTAAAGAAAAAACTATTTTTTAGTGTTCTAGATATGTTTTTATGGAAGAGCAGGAGTTTCATGGGATGTCTAAAGAATTTTACACAGACCTTTTATTAAAATGTAAAACACATTAAATCCAAATGGAACAATTTTTATAAATCCTTTTCTTACTCAAGGCTCAACTCTCTATCAACTAAAGCAATATCTTTCACTGACTATACTTATTTAGAATTGTTTGGCAAAAGCTAGAACATGCTAAAATTATGATTTGTAAAACATGATTAAATCATTCAGCCAGATCCACTTGAACCTTAGCTTAATTTAATATCATTAATTCCTTTTAGCTTTGTTAGTTACCCAGTCTATTAGAAGGTATTTTATATATATACATATACATACATACTACATACATACATACATACATACATACATACATACATACATACATACATACACCTTCTAATAGACTAGATAATTAACAAAGCTAAAAGGAATTAATGATATTAAATTAAGCTAAGATTTAGATAGATAGATAGATAGATAGATAGATAGATAGATAGATAGATAGATAGATAGATAGATAGATGTTAACAATTACACTAAAAATATGATCCCTGGGTATATCCATATTTAAAACCAAACAAATAAATATGAGCACCAGGGAGTGCTAAAAATTTTAATAAAATTTAGTAAAATGTCAATAAAATTACAATAAAACCAATAAAAATGCCTAGCTTTCGTCAGCAACTGCTGACATCATCAGGGCTCAAAATGCCAGTCAGTAGGAGAGTCCTCTTTATAGATTGGCCAAGATCTGCACCCGGCTCCTAGATCTTGTCATTGGGCCTGATGGAATAGGCTGTTTTCCGGTTGCCGGTTTCTTACTAGCGATAATTGCTTTCTTGCATTTCTTGCTTGTGTAAATGTCATCGGATGTTTTCTCTTTGCCAAATTCGGGGTTTGGTGGAATGTCCCCCCCTTTTTTTGCTTTGTTGCCACACCCACTTTGTTTAGTTGCACACCTCCATCACCCCCTCCCCCACTCCATTCTGATTGCCCCATTGCAATGCACTGTCTCTTATTTTCTTTGTGTTTCCCCCTCCCGCAATCATGGTCTCCGCAGGTGTTATTCAACTTAATTGCTATCACACCCCCTGCTTCCTCCTTACTCCTTGCTTGCACGTTGCCGTCTTGAGAGTTCTTCCGTGTTGCCTGTGGATACGGGCAGATCGGCCTCCCCTGTGCATCTTCATCACCCCCTCCCCCACTCAGACATCTCTGAGCATCTGAAGGAGCGTCGAGAGATGCAGGAGTATCAACGTGTGTACTAGGGGTTTGCACACACACCCCGGGACATCCGGAGGGGAGAGCATTGCCTAATAAGAGATCCATATTTAAAACACCCTTGGCGGGGGCATTGAATTCCCTGCCGTATTTGGGAGGGGAAAGAGTAGTCTCTCCAACCCCACTGCCTGTAACAACTCGAATATATATATATTTATTTACCAAAATGCACTGAAAAAATAATGTTTGTCTTATCTGAAGATGGGCTTATATGCAAACCCAACAATTTAGTTTGCATATCATTCTGTGACTTAGGCAATTATAGCTTGTACAGTAAACTATTGAATAACAAATCAAGGATTAGTGATATTTCACAGTTATTACACATTAGCATTTTGTAAACATGTTTAAGATTCCCTAATTATATATCAAGATTGTATATTTATTTTCTTTCTATGGGAAATCTATTTTGGCAAAATAATTTGGGTTGTTGTGGACCTTTTTGCCATATTACTGACCATCGCATTTAGTACTGGCAAGCAATGTTTTTTTAAAAAAATATTTGTATCAATGCAGGTACAAAATAATTCCTGAATTTACTTGGCCAAATCACAAATTACCATCTGACAAGGAGGCTGTGAAGAAATTGATTGAGCACTGTGGGTTTCAAGATGATGTGGCATATGGAAAAACAAAGATTTTTATTCGCACACCACGAACACTCTTCACGTTGGAAGAAATGCATGCCAAGATGCTTGAATGGGTGGTTCTCTTTCTACAAAAGGTGAAAAGCAATATTGAAATTTCTTATAAAATAATCTACATCTGATATCCACAAATTCACAGAATGAAAAAACATAACTTGTAAAATAAATTGCTTTTAATCATATGCCAGTCCTAGTGACTTACATGGACACATTCATATAGTTTTCTTGGTAGTGATAAGGGAATGGTTTGCATTGCCTTCTTGCAGAATATTTTTTTTTTCCTTTCAAATCTAGCATATTTCCAATGTGGTTTTAACTCTAAGGGATTAAAAACAGATGAAAACTAAACTGAATTTGAAAGACCTGTCCAGTCTTGTTCTGTTCACATGTTGGCCATCCAGATGTCTGTAGGAATTTTACAAACTGAATAATAGCACTTTCCTTCTCATATTTCTCAAGAAATAATCCCAGAGAAAGAACACTTTGTGCACAAGAGAGGTTGCACTTCAATAATATCCATTATTGTCTCTCCTCCATTAATTGGTGCCATTGATACTTAAAGTCATTCAGGTGATAGTAATTGATACATCTTGGTGAAGACAGTTATATAGTTAAGCATATATTGCATAAAAAAGTCTGTCTGTTTAGGATCCTTGGATGATCTCAGTTCAAATTGAAAGAGAAAGAAAAACAGTTTTGTCCATTTGCTTCATATAATGTGTACTAGCTTATATCTGTGATATGTTCTCTTTTACTTTTTCCATGCTAAAAAGTCCCTGATGTTCCTACAGCTCTTGAATATTTTTTCTTGCCAATCACACACTTCTGCATCAGCTACTGCTGTGAATCACTCCAATAGTTTTAGCAATTGCTTATTATTGGCAAAAAACTAACAATGTTTATTAAAAATATTTTGTGGAGTCCTTGGTACTCTCTGAACTTGGTTGTTTGCTTGCAGAGGTTTTATTACCTAACTAGGTAACACCATTAGTGTTGTACAGTTTAGTCCTGAACTATATATATATTCTCATCTATTGGTAAAAAATGTTTTATACTGTTATCAAAACCCATTTTTTTCCTCAAGGAAACTGGTCATTCAAAACAAATGTTGAAATATAATAACCAAATTTGCTTTGCAAAAGTAAGCAATTTATTATTCTCTATTGTCTGTTTAACTCATTAATTATTTAAACATTGTTTGATTGCTATTTTCATAATCTAAGTAGTAAGCTGAGAAAAAGGAGAAATTTTTGAACAAGATGGAACTCCATGGTAGGAATAGGGGTTAGAATTTTTAATAACACAGGCATTAATTTGGTAAGGTAAGGTTAAAATAAGGTAAAGTAAGGTGAGGTGAGGTGGGGTGATGTAGATGGGATGGGATGGGATGGGATGAGATGAGATGAGATAAGATAAGATAACCTTTATTGATGTTTTTTTAGTGTGGGCACACTGGCCCACATTAAAAACGAAATTCTGTTGCCTGCCTGTTCTCAAAAGAAAGTATATATCTACACATACCCATACATAACACACACATACACATGCTACACACACACACACACATATATGCATGCACACACACATATACAAACATATATATACATATACATACATACATGTACATACATGTATACATATGTACCCATGTTTCCCCAAAAATAAGACCCGTTTTTTTTTGGGGGGGTTGCCTCCCAAAGAGGTACCAGGTCTTATTTTCGGGAGGGTGGGGTCTTTTTTACTCACCTCCTGCACCGAAAGCCCAGCCCAGCCAGCCCACGTCTTCTGCAGCCAAAGGAGCAGCTTCATTCTGCAGCTGCATTTTGGCCTGCATTTCACAGTCAGGCCTTTCCAGAAGGCCTCTGCAGCTGAGTACCGAGTTACACATATACATACATATAAATAATATATAAATATTAATCACCATTTTGAACACATAGCAGAAAGAGGAAACTTGAGAGTTCACAAGGTTGATGCTATATAGAACAAAACTGTGACTGAATCTAGATGTTCTGCTTCAGATACGACAAAGCCTCTTCCCAGAAGATAACAAAGAAAACATGTCATGAAGAGGACATGTAGTGTCCCAGACTATATCCTGCGGACTCTTCAAACATAGTTTATATGCCATGTCCTGGATAGAAGGAAGTGAACTACCAATCATCTTTCCTGCCATCCTCACACTCTCTGCACTGACTTCCTGTCTGAAGCAGTAATGCTTCCAAACCAGACAGTAATGCAATATGACAGGATGCTCTTGATTATCCCTCTGTAGAAAGTGGTAAGGACAGGAAAGGAAGATGTACTTTTCTGATGTGACGCAGAAAATGCAGGCGCTGCTGTGCCCATTTCACCAGTGAGCGACCAAGCTCGCCTACTCATTAGCTGCACATCTAGAAACTGCTAACCACCTCCACAGGTGAATCATTAATACACAGAGCTGTGTGGCTTTTATTTATTTTTTATTAACTGATGCTTCAAATAGAGCCTTTGTGATTAAAAATTCCAGAAATGAAGACTATTTTCATTATATGATAACAGCAAATAATTCCTGATAAATACTCATTCTCTGTTTCTTAAAGGTAGTTTTTCTTTCACTCTCCCTCCCCTCCTCTAACTCTTTCTCTCATACACACACAAACACACAGACAAACACGGGGTTGTAATATGTTATTAAATAATGCAGTTATTTAATTTTATGAAATTAGCTTTAAGATTTTACTTTTGGCTTGTTCATTTTATTATTATTGGTACTTGTTTACTATGAAAAAAGATGGTATCTATTATCACTGATTAAAAGCTTGTTAGAAAAACTAAGCAAAAATACTTTAGGTGAAAATGAAATAATTTTTCTTCAATATCATGTTTTTGAATGCACTTTGTCGATTATCTTTGCAAATTAAAATGCTATCTTTTCATATATATTTTTGTTGTACCCTGAATCTTGTATCTTTCTTAATTTGCACAAAAATGCACAATTTTGACTCCCTTCATAGTAAAACTGTCTGTGTGAAAGGTTCTCTTTTATACTTGCAGTAGTGGCAGGGATCATTGGCAACCTTGGTTAATTTGTTTTTTAAAAAAAGTCTTTACCTTTTCGTATCACGTACTATTCAAGGCTGTTTATGATATTTATTTGTAACTGAATTATGATTTTAGTACAGTACAAAATATTTCCTGAATTTTTTATGCATTATTTAAAGATGTTCTCTACCTTTCTGTACTAGTTTTTGAGACAAGTAACAATAACAATAGACAAAAATATTGCATATACTAAAAATAATTATTAACGGTAAACCTAATGAGAAGGTAATATAGAATAAATCACTCCTAACAACCACAACAAAGCTTGTATTGAAATGACAGTGAAGAAAGTAGCTTAATAGTCTGTTCTAAGGATATTGGAAAGCCTATATTTTAGCTAAAATTTGGACAGATTCATAAACAAGAAGATGGATCACAACTTTTAGCTCTGCCTGGAAACTACTAATAGATTTATTGAACTTCTTTTTTTTTATTGAAATTTTTATAAACTTTTACAATAAAATCTCTCCCCCCTCCACCCATTCCCCCCTTAACCCTCCCCCCTCTTCCCAGAGCTGAATACAGAGCTAAAAAGAACAGGGAAAAAAAAACATAAAAATTAAATAAACATCAATCAACTATACATAAATCCTAAAAAGTTAAGAAAACACTTTAACTCCAATACAATAAAATCAGCAAATCTAACCATAACAACTTTAACTATAAATTATTCAAAAGCTAAATAATACTTTCTAATCCCATATTTATTCTGAACAAAATTTACCCATCTTTTTCACATAGAATTATATCTCTCTTGTGAACGGTCTTTCAGATAAGCCGAAATTTTAGCCATTTCTGATAAATAAGAAACTTTAAGAAACCATTCCTCTAAGTAGGCAAGGAATCTTTCTACCAATATTGCCCAATCAATAACCTTGCCGCCGTAATAAAATTCAACATTAAAATAATCTCTTTACTATCACAATCTCCAATAATACCTAACAAAAATAATTGTGGTGTAAATTTTATCCTTCTATTAAAAATCTTTTGAATGTTCCACCAAATCTTAATCCAAAAAGCCTTTATATTTCTACATGACTACCACATCTCCAACATTTGGGCTGTAAATTGGGATACATGCGAGACATCTTTTGTGGATCAAGGTGCCATCTATAAAACATTTTATAAAAATTTTCTCGCAAATTTTGAACTTGGGTAAACTTAACATTCCTCACCCAAATTATCTCCCATGTGTCTAATGGAATCGGCTCTTCAAAGTTTTGAGCCCACTTAACCATACAATCCTTAACTAATTCTGTTTCTGAATCCAATTACACTAAAACATTATAAACTCTTTTTATGTGGGCTCGATTTTGGTCTTTAATTTGTTTCACCAAATTCACATCTTCCGTAATAAAACTCACTTTTTGATCTATACTCCATCTTTCTAATAACTGCCTATACTGAAACCAAGAATAGATAATATTTTCTTGCGTTAATTCCTCCATCGATTTTAATTGCCACTTATTCCGTTCCCACTTAAGTAACAAAATCTCTAATGTTAAAACAAACAACGGGGACAATGGACATCCCTGTCTTGTACCTTTTTCAATTTGAAAAACCTCAGATAAACCTCCATTAATTATAAGCTGCGGTGATTGTTTTTGATAAATACCTCTAAAAGCTTGCAAAATTTTATCCCCAAAATTCATTTCTTCAACCAACCTCAACATAAATTGCCAATTTAACTGATCAAAGGCTTTTTCAGCATCTAAAAAAATCAAACCCGCAGGAATCTGATTATTTTTATCCAAATATTCTATTAAATTAATAATTTGTCTAACATTATTCTTCATATACCTCCCAGTTATAAAGCCAGTCTGATCAGTATGTATAATTTGATTCAATACAACCATAAATCTATTCGCTAAAATTTTTGAAAAAAATTTATAATCTATATTCAAAAGAGATATAGGTCTATAATTTTTAGGTAAAGTAAGATCTTGATCCTCTTTTGGAATCAAAGATATGAAAGCCCTTCTCCAAGATAAAG